GCCCGCGTTTATTTTAATCGCGGCTTCATTTCCCTCTCCCGATCTCGCTAATCTACATGCCTCCGTCGAAGGAGGCATGTAGTCTAGACACACCCCTAGAAAGGTGTCTCGGGATTGCTGGCCAGGAAGAAGGAGAAGTTGGCTTTCTAGCAGGCAGTTCATCCGCCACCAGGGTTTCACAAACATGCTTGGGGTCAGTGGAGAGGTTTGTGAGGTTCTAGTTCGTTGGAGGCCGCTAGGGACTCGCTTATTTGGAGTGAACTTCGCAATAAACTGCTATTCCAAAGGGCCCTTCCTCCCCGTGGAAAGGCTCACGGGGACGGCGGAACAGCACGCCTGTTGCTTTGAATCAACGGGCTTGTTCAAAAGCTGCGGGACAGCCGTTCCGGAGTATCCCAACGTAGCGCCGCTGTCTAGGGGCGCCCTGGGGCTCCTCGCAGCCCGCGCTGTGCAAACGCAAACAGCACAGAACCGGGCAGTCCCGTTGGTGCGACGGCTCTGCCCCCATGGTTCTCCTTGCAAGGCGGGCAGGAGATCGGTGTCCAGAGGAGGAAGTCGTGCTCGGGCGCGGGTGCAGAGCTGCCTCCTCCCCCAGCCAGAGACCAGCCCCGTCGTCGTCTTGCCCGAGGGGTTGCGTGCGAGAAGCGTCCCTCCCCCCACCCCGGTAATAAGACTGCGGGTGCGTTTTCCCGGTTCCCCTGGAATCCGTAATCTTGTTACTCGGCTCTCGCGGGCTGGTGTCAAAGCATCAGACTCGGTGCCTCCCCGCGGGCAAACCTGAACATCACGCGCCCTGCGATCGAGATCTCCGCCCAAGGAGAGTCCTGCCTCCAGGGTCGCTGCCTGGCCCCGTGGGCCGGCTGGAGATCTGTAGAGCAAGGCCCGGGCCAGACGCGGGATTGCTGTGCGGCCTCCCAGCGGTGCCTTCAACAGATGGAAGAAGCTTCCCCGCAGTGAAAGGGGGGGCCGGTTGTACCCCTGGCAGCTCTGGCTGGAAGGGCAGGGGTCCCCCTCCTTCTCCGATCCGTTTGGACTGTGCCTGGCTCCTGAGCAAGGGGCTGCGTTTGTTCGGACGCGCCCAAGGCCGCTGGGAATAGTCAGGGCTAAGCATTTGTGATCCAGGTTTTTCGTCGCTTGTCTGGTGCGAGGCCGGGACGATTCCGCGGCTCCAATTGGAATGCAAAAGGGAAGGAAGAATTGAGAGAGGGGAGAATTGTATTGGCTCTTCTCTGAGCCCCTCCCCATGGTCCCTGATCTGGCCCAGGATCACACCCTGCCCTCTGTCTGGCCTTTGGCCCACTGCTCTTCAGTGGGGTGTCCTGCAGAGCCGAGTTCCCCTGCTCCCCCGCCCCGGCCTTGCTGAGCGCGGAGGGAGAGAAACCGAACCCAGCAGCTCCCACCAGGGCCCTGCCGTCGGGGGGGTGGCAGGGGAATCCGATCGCGCAGGGCTCCTAGCTGCAGCGCCTGCTGCTGGCCCGTCCCTTTGACTGGACTCTAGGCCCATGTGAAATCCCCGGTCAGGTGGGACCCTGAGGCAGGGCAGCGTCCCCAGGGGGGAGAGCCCCTTACCGCCAGCCCAAAGGCAACCAGCCGGCAGCTCGCTGCTGAGCGTGGGTAGGGCCGAGCCGCGGGTCCTTGGGCTCGGCTGGCGGTGGCTTCTCGTGGAGTGTCCGGGCTCGGCCGCCCTCTCCTGCCGGAGCCCTTCCCGTGGCCGCCTCCCCTGCAGCATCCTCCTCCTGTGGTCCTGGGCCCACAAAAAAGCTCTGCGCAGAGCAGCCCAGTGGTCAGGCACCGGGGGCGGGGGGTCCTGGGCCACGGGCCACGGCAGGCAGCAGCTCTGTTAAATGACACATGGGCAGTGTCATGCTTGGCTCTGCCTCCTGCACCTGAGAGAGGAAGTGTTGCCTAGTGATTAGAACAGGGAGCCTCGCGGTGGGACCCTCTCTGCCGGCTGCCAGGCGGTTCCTCAGCCCGGGTGGGAGGCTTCGCTCCTTGATGCCCAGGGAGCTGGCAGCCCTCCACCCTGCAGAGGGCTGGGGGCCTCAGGGTGCAGCGCCCCGAGGGGGAATGCTGCCGAGTTGCAACCCACAGGCCACACTGCCCCCGCTCCCTCCCTCGGGGCCTTTGGGAGCTGAGTTATTTATTCTTTGCTTTTTCTTTTGATTTTCTCGGTGCCTTTCTTCCTTTCTCCTCTGGGTGTCCCTGCAGATGTCTCTTCGCTCTGCCCGGCGGCGCTGGTCCATCCAAGCGGCTACCGACGTCCCGGTACTGTGCGCTGTGTGCTCTCTCCTTCCCTCACCCTGTCTTTGCCCAAGAATAAAGCCCTCCCTGCCTGGCGGACGGTAACCCGAACAACCGGCGGTTCCCTCGCTTGACCTGGGGGGGTCAGGGAGTCGCCCCATACGTTGTATCAGAGAATCCAAGGTGGGAACGCTTCTGTTGGGACCCAGATCCCCTTGCCTGAGCAGGAGGGGGTCGCATAAAGGCTGTTGAGGGAGGTCAGAGAGGCTAATAAGATAGTAGCAAAGGATGGATTTCCCAGGACTCGGGGCACAATCAAGGAGGCTAAGGACGTTGCAGCGTGAGGATCGGAGCCCTGCACCCGGCCCCCCAGGGCACTGCTGTAGCCACACCGCCCCCTGGTGGCTCTCTGTGACTGGAGCTACTGCCCAGAGGCACCTGATGGGAGAGGCCTATTGTCTGGGCAATAGGGTGGATCCTGGCTTGCTGCTGCAGACTCTGCCCCCCGACTCCGTCCCCCCTTCCTGACTTTGATTCTTCCTGGTTTCCGGCTCCATGCGCCAGGCCCTGAACTGCCTCCCTGGTGCCCGACTTCTCCGGCTCCCTCGGGCCGATGGCGCTTTGGCTTCCAGCCCAGCACTGGTGTCCCTGTTTTCCATCTGGCCTGGCTCCAGCTTTCACCTGACCCTGGACATACCCACTGGCCTCTGAACCCCGCAGTGACCACCAGGCCAGGCTGCCACCTGCACCACCTTCCAGAGCAGCCAGTGGTCGAGCGGCCGACAAACGTCTGCTGTCCCAGGCAAGGCAGCTGCTGGACTTTGATGAACCAATTTGCTCCCCGTCGGCCCAGGCGGTAGGGTTCTCGGGGCAGGGCTCAGCATCAGGGTGTGGCCGAGCCCGGATCACAGCCAGGACTATGACACCGCTAGGGGACCGACCAGCGTGGCTTTTGCAAAGGAAGATTGTCTCCCTAATCTGCTGCAGCTCTGTGAACGCCTCCCCAGCCCGGTGGCGGAGACCCGAAAGACGCTTGTACTTGGGCTTTCAGAGTGCTGGAGCTGGAGCCCTTTTACGGAACGCAGGGTACGGAGAGGGGGAGACCGTGAGCTCCGCTGTGGGGCAGCCGTGAAGGTCAGGTCTAGACTAGTCCCGAACGGTCGGCTTACGGGACGCAGTCCCTGCGGCGCAAATAACGTTGCTGGAGTCGATGTACTGTAAGCCGAGCTTGGCGCCACCTCCACAGCGGGAGGCCGATGAGAGCAAACGTTCCCATCGGTTTCCCTTACTCCTTGCGGCACTGACTCGGAGGGTGCACTCAGCATTCAATTTAGAGGGTCTTTATCAGACCCGCTAAATCAAACACCATAAGATCAATCTCTGGTGCGGCAGGTGAGATGAAGCCTGAGACAGGAAAGCGAGCAAGCGGAAAACGGCCAGTTTTCAACCAGGGAGAAGTTCCAGTGAGACGCTCCAAAGGGCCAGCCTTGGGCTCGGGCTGCGTGTCTGTGGTCGGGAAAGGCAGCGAGGCAGCGTACAGAAGCACGCTGACCATAGGTAAAGGCGTGCTAGAAATCGGCCTCCCAACACGAGGGAGAAGTAGGCGGCCTCCAGCGTGTCTGCCAGATTCTGCAAAGCCTTCATGGCCGACATGGAGCTCGGAGGGACTTTGCCGAGGGCTCATTTCCCCCAGAACCAGAAGGAAGCGCTGGCTGTACCTGGGCCGTGGACTTCTGCATGCCAAGAAACAGACTCCCCTGGGCAGTGGTCAGGGAGAGTGAGGAATCCAGGAGGCCTATGGGGAGCGTTCCCCTCGGTCTGCCCCCCGCCCCAGTATCGGCACGGGAAGGCAGCCTTGTGTTGAGCGTATGGGTCGATAGCACCCTTCTCTGGCCATCTGGGGTCTGCCCCGAAAGAGAGCGAGCGGCAGGCATGGCGAGGGGCCTTGAGAGTCCCGAGGCCGGTCCCCGTGAAGAGACTTGGAGCTGGGAGTGCTGTCCTTTCCGGCAGGAGCAGGCAGCGACGGAAACGGCGAATGACTGGCATAGCCACGAGCTGGGGCACTTAGCGAAACCCTGTAAGCAAACGTGACACCAACTTAAGCAAGTACCCGTATTTTAGCGAATGTAACCTGAGGGGTACATTCGTTTTACAAACTGCAGGCGCGCGCACACACGCCCGGCGGGGTATATTTGGGTGCAGGGTATACACTTTTTTTTTTTTTTTTTTTTTTTACACCCCCCCACCCGCGCGGGCT